TTTTTTTTTAAGATTTTATTTATTTGAGAAAAAGAGAGGGCACGAGCAGGGGGAGGGGGAGGGACAGAGGGAGCAGGACAAACAGATTTCCCTGCTGAGCGGGGAGCCTGACACCAGGCTCAATCCCAGGACTCCGAGATGACCTGAGCCAAATTCAGATCCTCAACCAACTGAGCCACCCATGTGCACCGACCCTGTCATTTTTTAATCCATTATCTCATACTTTCTTCATAGAACTTAAAACTTTGATGTTCTGTTATTAGTTAACATGTTTATTCTCTATTTCTCCCCTTCCAAGTAGGATGTAAGCACCCTAAATGGAGGGGATTATCTGTCTTGGTCATCACTGTATCCTTAGAATTCAAACCAGGCTATTACATATACTGGATGTTCAATTAATATTTATTGAATGAGTAAATAAATGGAAATAGATATGCTTTTCCCAGAGTTTATAATTAGAAACATAGAGATGTTATTAACTACTCTGATGTTCTGGATTTTTTTTTTTTTGCACTTTTTTTTCTTTTTTAAGTAGGCTCCATGCCCAACATGGGGCTTTAAATCACCACCCTGAGATCAAGAGTCACATGCTTTACCAGCTGAGCCAGCCAGGCGCCCCAACTGCTCTGATGTTCTATAGATAGTTACAGGCAAAGGCAGGCTAAAACTCAAGTTTCCTGATGTTCTTATATTGCATTAAAATTTTAACTCATTTTAAAAGGGAAAAAAAAAAAAGCCACCCACAATCTTCAATTAGCTAAACAGAGGAGCGACATTGGAATATGAATCTGGGACTTACTGATTTTCTAGCTTGCTCTACTTCCATAAAATTCTAAAAACCCTGTGCAACAGTTTTTAAAAAAAAAAAATAGTTTATCTATCTGAATTGAGAGGGTCACCTTACACTAGTCTGCCATTTGAAGCAAAACCTGTTTATTAAACTCTTTCTAATGCTTTTTTTCTTAAACAGTAGAGATAAATGATAGCAAGTAGAGTTGGACCTAATGTGCATGTTGATCATTTCATTATCCTGAAGCTCCCAAGTGGAGAGACAAAATTGATTTAATATGTATAAAAATTATGTCAATTTGCTTCTCTCTTCTGGGAACATTTTAAAGCCCCTAAAATGCCAGATTTATATGAATTTACATAAGCTTTTTCCAACCATTTCAAAACATTTTTGAAATTAAGTTTATATATAAATGTTAATAGGAATTACTAGCATCTTCAGTAATAAAATTCATAGTGTTATAAAGTCAGATCAGTATCAAATTTTCTTTCCTGTATATAAAAACTTATCTCTTGATCCCTTAGTGTAATATCATTCACTCTATTTTTGTTACTTCATATAAACTCTTAGTAATTAGATAGTATTTCTCTGGCTGAATAATATGAGCAGTATTAACTGTACTCATAATAACATGTGTAGCCATTTCCTAGCAGCTAATCAACAATATTAATCAACAATTTAACACTAATTTTTGGTTATTAATCTCACCAAAAATTATTTCAACTTTTCTCATCTTTGTTTAGTACACCTTTTATTTTAAAAGAAGTTCACAGTATTTTATATGCAAAAATCAATAAAAGATTCTGTTAGCAAATTAATCTGTGGTACCCAAGAAATAATAAATAGTGCAGTTAACTTCCTTCACTACATGCGTGTATAAAACAATTGAAGTGAGGGGTGCCTGGGTGGCTCAGTCGTTAAGCGTCTGCCTTCGGCTCAGGTCATGATCCCAAGGTCCTGGGATCGAGCCCCGCATTGGGCTCCCTGCTCGGTGGGAAGCCTGCTTCTCCCTCTCCCACTCCCCCTGCTTGTGTTCCCTGTCTTGCTGTGTCTCTGTCAAATGACTAAATAAAATCTTAAAAAAAAAAAATTGAAGTGAGAGAAGCTAGACACAAAAGATCACATATGGTGCAACTCCATTTATTTGAAATATACAGAATAGGTAAATCCATAAAGACAGAAAGCACACTGGTAGTTACCAAGAGCTTCAGGGAGTGGGAACAGGGAATAACGGCAAATGGGTACAGCAAATGGGTATTCTTTTGGGGTTATGAAAGTGATTTGAAACTAGATAAAGGTAGTGCTTGCACAACATTGTGAATGTATTAAATACCACAGAACTGTTCACATTAAAATGTTTAATTTTATTATGTAATTTTCACCTAACTTAAAAAAAAAAAAAAGACAACTGACAGCTTGAAGCAAAAGTAACAATGTATTGTGGGATTTGTAACATATGTTATAAAAAAGTAAATTATAGGGCCTCTGGGTTGCTCAGTCGGTCAAGCGTCTGCCTTGGCTCAGGTCATGATCCCAGGGTGCTGGGATCAAGCCCCGCATCGGGCTCCCTGCTCAGCGGGGAGTCTGCTTCTCCCTCTCTCTCTGCCACTTCCCCTGCTTGTGCTCTCTTTCTCTCTGCCAAATGAATAAATAAAATCTTTTTTTAAAAAAAGTAAATTACATGTCAAGAACAGAACAAAGGACAAGAATGGAAAATGGAAATGTATTTCTGTAAGATTCTTATACTATGTGTGAAGTGCTATAACATTATTTGAAGGTAAGCTATGATAAGTTGAAGATGTTGCAAATCTTAGAGCAATCACTAAAAATAAAAGTATAGCTAAAAAGCCAAGAGTGTCAAAAGATTGAGAAGACAGAATGGCAGAAAATATTGGCAAAAGACACATCAGGTAAAAGACTGTTATCTGAAATATACAAAGAACTCTTAAAACTCAACCGTGGAAAACTAACAATCTGATTTTAAAAACAGACAAAAGATCTGAAGAGATACTGCAACCAAGAAGACACACAGATGGCAAACAAGCATATGAAAAGAGGCTTCACATCATATGTCATCAGGGAAATGCAAATTAAAACAGCAAAGAGATACCACTACTCACCTATTAGTATGGTCAAAATCCAGAACAATGACATTACTAAAAGAATTTGGAGCAACAGGAACTCTCATTCATTGCTGGTGGGAAGGTAAAATGCTGGAGCCACTTTGGAAGACAGTTTGGCAGTTTCTCTCAAAATTAAACATACTCTTACCATATGATCCAGCAATCTCACTCTTCGGGGTTTACCCAAAAAAACTTGAAAACCATGTCCACACAAAAACCTATACACAGATGTTAATAGCAGCTTTATTCATAACTGTCAAAACTTGGAAGCCAACAAGATATCCTTCAAGGGGTGAAGGATAAACAAATTATGGTATATCCAGACAAAGGAATATTATTCAGCAGTAGCTACAAAAATGCTACCAAGCCATGAAAAAATATGGAGGAACCCTAAATGCATATTACTAAGTGAAAAAAGGCAATCTGAAAAGGCTACATACTATATTATTCCAACTATATGACATTCTGGAATTCTGTAAAAGGCAAAACTACAGAGACATTAAAAATATCATTAGTTATTCACACAACTCAATATAAAAAAACAAACCAATCAAAAAATGGGCAGAGAATCTGAAAAGACATTTCACCAAAGAAGACATACAGATGGCCAACAGACACATGAAAAGATGCTCAACTTCACTAATCATTAGAGAAATACAAATCAAAACCACAATGAGATATCACCTCATACCTGTCATACTGGCTATTATCAAAAAGACAAGAAGTAACAAGTGTTAGGAAAGATGTAGAAAAAAGAGAACCTTCATGCATTGTTGGTGGGAATGCAAAATGATGCAGCCACCACAGAAAACAGTACGGAGTTTCCTCAAAAAATTAAAGTAGAGGTTGGGGGAGCTAAGATGATGGCATAGTAGGAGGACCCTAAACTCATCTCATCCCCTGAAGCCAACTAGATAACTATCAAATCATTCTAAATACCCCAGAAATCAACCTGAAGACTGACAAAACTGCATAACTAGAGGGAAAGAAGAGGCCATGAGGAAGGTAGGGAGTGCAAAGATGTGGTATGGGGGGAAAACTGACATAGGTGCTGTGAGGGGAGGAAGCCATGATCATGGAGAAGGGCGAGAGAGAGAGAGAGGAGAACACAAGGAAACTCACAAGGAGAATGTTTCCCCAAAGCCATTGGCTGGGAAAATGAGAGGGACTGATTTTTGTGAGTTCTTGCAACCAGGAGGGTTTAAAGACTGGTGTTTTAAAGGTCAGGGGGCTTGGCAGATATGGAGCCCTGAGGGTGTTCCCCTGCTCCTAGAGAGAAGGCAGGCAAAAAAACCTGGGGGCAGACCACATGGAAACAGGGATCTGAAGAACACCTGGAACACACAGAGGGGAGATTATTCACTCTTCTTAGAGCACATCCCTGAGAGGTAACATTCACAGAGACACCTCTCTGAAGACAAAGGAGCTGGCTGGCACTATTTCTCTCCCCTGCCCCTCAGCATAAATGCAGAGCCACCTGTGGGAAGCAGCTCAGCCCCAACACTGACTGCCTAACCTGCTTATACCAAGTCCCATACCCCTGTGCTCTGCACAACTGGCCTTCTCAGTCAAGCCTGCCTTAGTCCTAGGGTGACAAGATACTTCCCCAGAAGACCAGTGCAGGCCCCTTGTCCACACCACATCCCTAAAGCCTAGAGTTTTAAAACTCAGCAGGCTTGGCTGGGATAGAGCCTAGAGGGCACTGCCCTGCTCCTGGAAAGAAGGCAGGCAAACAAACCAGAGGCAAACAGTGATGGATCTGAAAAATGCCTGGGGCAAACCAGTGAGGAGATTATTTACTCTTCTCAGAGTGCTTTCCTAAGTAGCAGTGTGCATGGAGACTCCCCTTCAGAGACAAGGGGGCTGGCTGGCTCCATTTCCTTCCTGCACCCCTCAGTATAAATACAGAGCCAATTGCGGTAAATAGGGCAGCACTGACACTGGCTGTGTACCCTGCTTACACCAAGTCGCATACCCCTGCACCATGGCGGTACTGCCCTTCTCAGTCAAGTTTGCCTCAGTCCCAGCATGGTGGGCCCCTTTCCCAGAAGATCACCAGACCCCCTGCCCACACCATGTCTCCCAACCAGAGAATTCAAGCACCAGGCCCTGGATACTATATGACCTCTTCTTCATAAAGCAATTACTCTTAGGAGCAGGAAACATAATGGGCTTTTCTAACACAGAGAAGACGACAGAGACTTATAATGCCAAAGTGGGAGAAATTCATCCAACATGAAAGAACAAGATAAAGTCTTAGCCAGAGATTCAAGCAAAACAGATATAAGTAACATGACTGGTGGAGAATTTAAAGCAACAGTCATAAGGATACTCAGTGGGCTTGAGAAAAGATTGGAAGGCTTCAGGGAGACCCTTACTGCAGAGATAGTTAAAAAACAGAAGGGGCACCTGGGTGGCTCAGTCGTTAAGCGTCTGCCTTCGGCTCAGGTCATGATTCCAGGGTCCTGGGATCGAGCCCC